TATTATGTAACTTTTAACTAAACTTATTTGAGTATTGGTGCCTATTAAATCAGACCACGTCATATTGACCACGCATGTAAATTTCTTTTGTTTTTTCTTTTTTCATTTTCGGGTTGTATATATTTTGTCCATTAACACAATAAAAAAACACTTAATTTAAAACATATATATATATATATATATATCACTCCTAAATTTATTCTTAATGACAAAAATTTAGAGATCATTATTCATTACTCAATGACAAAAAAATAAATAAAATTCATTTCACTTCTAAATTTATTTTTAATGACATAAATTTAGAGATCAATACTTAATGACCCAAAAAAAATTAAAATTAAAATTCTACTACCCTTTTATGTACACTAATGAATGAAGGAGTAATGCTAGAGGCGCTAACATTTCTGCCAAATATTTTACTAAATATCTTACATATTAGGACATTTAATAAAATATTTGATAAAAATATTGGACTTCTAACATTTTCCATGAATGAACACATTATATTTACGTTGTGAGCCACCTAATCATTGAAATTTTTTTTATTATTATTACATTATTGGTCTCTAATTAAACATTTTTTTTTTTTTTTAAAGATTTTTCATAAATATTTTACTTTTTAAATGAATTAAAAAAAACTAAATACCAAAAAAATCACTAAAATCAAGAAAATTAAGTAAAAAGAAAAAACAAATTAACAATAATTTTCAAAAACAAAACCAAAGAAGGTGCTTCAAGATGTTTGGATTTCCGTGACTCACGCTAGTCCATTAGTATTCATCATTAGAATCTAGTATACTTCGGGAACAAAAAATTTACAGCTACAGAAAATTAATCCTTTATAAATTGACCAAATCGAAATGTTGGACCAAAATAATATAAAACTTAGGGAATGGTTTCTATTCAGTCTGTGATTGGATTGGACGGTATTGTTGGGCTTGTGGGAGCCCAGCATGATTTTCGTTTCGATTCGAACCGTTAATGTATAGAACTAGTCAAGTATTATATTCCCGTAAAAAGTCACCTTGATCGGATATTAATAGTTACGTGATCAAATCAGTTTTGTATGAAAAAAATAGACGGTGAAAAAATAAACGATTGACAAAAATCTGTTCCGATGAAATAACTATCGATATCTGATTAACGTGATTTTTTATAAATATAGTACTTGAAAAGTTCTAGACATTAAATGGTTCGGATTATCGAAACGAAACTTATGATAGACCCTCACAGGCCCATCAATACCCTCCCGTCCATATCGGATTGGAGGGAAACTATTTCCCAAAACTTACACTTCGTATACCAAAAGTATAATTAATCATTTTTTTTTTTTTCAATGGTATCAGCCATGAGGACTACCTTAACACATATGTAATCATTTGGGGATAAAAGTTAAATTTAAGAATCAAAATAACACAAAGTACATAACTTGGATATATATATATTTTTTTAAAAAAAAAAATTGTACTCAACCACCCCTTTTTCTTTGGTTAGCCCATATTGATGGGGTGTCCTTATCATTCTCACAATAGTCAAACAAAATGTCATTTTAAAATTGTTGGGTAGCATCATGGAAAGTTTATTTTTAATCTATAATGGGCTATGTTTTGGTATATATATATAAGAGAGGATGCGAGGATTGCGCATCACACAATTTCAGACTCAACCTTATTTAGCTTTGCTCTTGTCTGCCAAGACAAACATGACATCTTCTTCAGTTGAGGCGGCTCAGCAGGGTGACAAGTATAGAGCTTCCTTGAATGGAGAGGGAGAGAAGAACACAAAGTGGAGGTTTGGTGCTCCTCCTAACTATGATGTTGTCAACAAGCTCTTTGAAGAAGGCAGAACAAAGGTAGTGTTTACTCACCCGTTATAAACAAATTCTTTGGTCTTGTTTGGTTTGTGTCGGGAGATATAATTTTTGAAAAAAAATTTAAAAAATTTGTTTGGTTAAAAATTTTTGAAAAAATATTTCAAAATCACTTTTCTCTCTACTACACATAATCAATTACTTTTTCCCTCCTCTCTCATTCTCAATCATTTTTTCTTTTACACCCATCTATCCAATTACAAAAAAATATCAAATCATCCCAAATTTCAAAACTATTTTCAAAATATACAATCAAACAAATTTTCAAAAGGGCTAGGCTTCCCTCTAGTTCGTGATCTGACTGGAAGGTACTGTTGGGCCCCGTAGGAACCTACCACAGGTCCTATTTCGATAATTCGAACCGTTCAATATGCAGAACTCGTTAAATACTATATGCCAGTAAAAAATCACGTTGATCAGATATCGATAAGTATCTCATCGGATCAATTTCTATCAACCGTTTATTTTTTTACTATTCATTTTTTTTATATATAAAACTGATTTGATCACGTAATTATCGATATTTGATTAATGTGATTTTTAATAAAAATACAGTACTCGACGAGTTTTACACATTGAACAGTTCACGTTATCAAAACGGGACCCATGGTGAACCTACACAGGCTCAACAGTACCCCTCCAATCCGGAGAGAAGCCAGCCCTTTTCAAAATTTTTAAACTCACTAAAAACTTATTTTTAAAATAATATCTCAAAACACAAATTTATCTATAATTGGTTAAAAACAGTTAAGTGGGCCACATTTAAAGCGGAGATCCCACTACTTTAATCTGATGATTGTTTTGTTTACTCAACTGATAGGATCGGACTATCCTTTCTGTATTTGTATACGTTTGTATAGTTTTAGTATATCAATATTTTCTATGGCTGACCTAATTGTTTGTCTATTGTAGATTTGGCCTCAAGGTTCACTTGAGGAAAAAGTGCAGAACCTTCTCAAGTCATGGGAAATGGAGATTTTCCATAAGAAATCTTTTGATGACTTCAAAACCATGGACCCAAAGAAGTACACTTTCAGTCTCAATGGTAATAAAAAGTCCTCTTTCTTTTTAATTTAATATTTTTGTATCCTACCCTTCTTGTTCAGTCTAATTTTCCTTGTGAGCACTTTCATGATCACAATTTCCAGGGCGAAAACCGACAACCCTGGAAGAAATAGTGCAAAAGTTTGGGGGAGGGTACAACCCACTACTGCAGACCTCCTTGCCAGAGGAGTTCCAGTTCTACAACATAGCTGAGGAAACTGCAGGAGTGTTTTGAGGCATGAAATTGATAATCCTGGTTGAAACAGTTAAATGAAGAATCAAAAATCGTGAAGGTAGAGCTCTTTTATGATCGCGGAGAGTTGCTTGGAGGTCTCATGAAGGGTGGCCATGGTGGTGCCTCTGATAGTTCCACAAATGAGATGCTTTCAAGCTGCCCTACCATGAAGGGCACTGGGTAATAATGTGTGTGAGGGTTCTTGTGAAGTTTCTTACAACACAACGTCAACAATTTTACTCTTCAATGGATGTAACTTTGACTCTTTTTTTATTGTTATTATTTATTTTAAGCTTGTTCTCCGTCTAATAATGGGTATAAATAATTTGTTCTAAGAGTTTGGGTCACTGGTTTTACTACACAGTAGTTGTAATCACCAGAAAAACAGATGAAATGAACAGAGTATTTTGCTTTTGTTGTATTAACACTTACGATTTCAATTAGTTAATGAGATAATTGATCGGGCTGTGAGAATAAGTTATGCCATGGAATTTGATGAGATGAAAATTCGGAGATAGAGGGGGTGTAAAATTGGCTTGCGTGCCACCCGAAGGCCGCATGCGGCCCGGGTGAGCCCCACCCATAACCTAGCCCATCAGCCCACTCGAGATCCGATGTTATTTTTTGTGAAAAAAATAAAAAATAAAAAAATAAATGATCAAGCCCAGCCCGAGACCCGAATATCCCATGGAGGGCTTGGGCCTTAGCCTAGTTTTCTAGTCCATGGGCCGACCCGGCCCGAAATTTGACTTAAGCTTGCGAGGCTTGACATAGGCCGACCGAGACCGGGTGGACCAGGCCGAATAAAAATATAGAGATAAATTACTATCATGTGATAAATAAATGAAGGAAATGGAATGAGATAAATATATATATATATATATATATAATATTATTTTTTTACTGTTGGGTGTAGGAGGGAAATGATTCAGAATCTGAGAGGCATATTCAAAGGACAAATAAGTAAAATACAGAGGTAGGAAAATTCTTAGCAGCCAAGTTGTAGACCATTTTCCAGAAAAATAAATAAATAAAAAATAACAGTGTTTCATTTTCTATTGTTGTGAACCTGCCTAGAAGCTACAAGGAGTTTGGACAGTTAATAATGTGTTATTTATTCCCACAATTTGAAATTTTTCTTCTTTCTTCCCATAACAATTTGAATTTTGACCCAGGAAAACAAAAAATTTAAAGATATTGAAGTTCATTAATAAAACCCACAGACGAAAAATAAATAAATAAATAAAATAAAAAAGAATGAAAAAAACCCCATTAATGCAAGCAGAAGTGAAATAAAGGACAATTTTCTTGCACAAGACATGTCATCGACCAAAATAAGGGCTTTTATTTTTGAATAACTAAAAGTTACAAAGCAACCAAGAAAATTATAAATAAAAGATCAAATCCCACACCGATCATAAAAGGAATTGATCATGACTTTAATTTGTATCTTGGATTTATCAAAGGAAAACGAAAATAGAAGGAAAATGAAATTACTCAAGTATATTCATTTTTAATATACCCTATTCATTTTCAAGGATAATGAGCATAAGAAAGGAGGGAATAAAATATGATCCCAGTAGATCATTACAAAAATCTCATAATTGAGTCCAAAAACTTTGCTATAACCAAAGGATTTCTATATCGCATCCCATATACACCTTAGGGGTTACAAGTGACAGATGGATCAACTTGATTTCATGTCTTCTTATTAGAATATTTTAAAAATTAAATTAAGTAGAAACCTAGATTTCACTGAGCATTAGAATTTCAGAACGCAACTTAGTAAATCAGAGGAGATCCTACGTGAGTTTTGCAGTTAAAATAATTAGATCAGTCTACAATAATGCATACACCAACATAATTATTGATTTTTGATTTTTGATCAAGAGAGAAATAACTTTGTGAATGATTCTACACAATCCTTGTATAAGCAGAAAGGAAAAAACAAAACAAGTCCCATCTTCTGTCTAGCTATAACATGATTTAAGGGAAGTTGAATTTGCATTGTTGTTGGGTAAAACATCTATTTGATATTGGTTTAGAAGTTCTAATACTATCATAAATCAAAATAATAAAAAAAAAAAAAAAACGAGGCTAAGCCCAAGGGAGGGAACCTGGATATGGAGTTGCACTGCAATATCTGAACAGGCCTTCAATTTCAGGACAGCCATTAGGATAAGGGATTGATCGGTGAAAAGGATCACGCCCTAATTTCTTGTGGCTCAGTGAAGTTAAGCAGCCATAGGGGTCCTGTTGAAATTGAGTCCTCACGAGTGCTTCACCTTTCAAAGCAGCTTCCCTTGAAGTTGGAGAAGCTGGGGTGCCCGAGTATAAGAACCTCGCCTCTGGAAACCGAATTGCAGAGCGATGCAGCTGTGCAAACCTCTCCTCCTTGAAATCGTAACTTACGACCTGAAATTCAGCAACATCAAATAGTGGTAACAAAGGCAATACTGACAAGATCGTTAAGCATGGAGGTTTAAGCAAAAATATCTTTGGCGAAATCAAATTCAACATCATGATTTAAGCCAAAAAAACGTATTTCAGGCTCTGCAGAATAATGGGAATTCATGCTACAATGAGTGGACTTACAGTTATATTAAGTGGATATGTGCCGGTAAGTTCGCGGAACCGACAAACACTAAAGAGAAGATTCTCAAAACTGTCCCTCGCATGTTCTTCTGTGAGTGCCCTCCATCTCACATTTTCTTGATTGCCTGTGCAGACAATATACAGTGGCACAGTCAGAGTTAGATGATTCATAACTTGTACAAAGTGAATAAAATTTCAACAGAGATTAATATAATGATATATTAGGGGAAAATGATGAAAAAATCATGTAATAATTTTCCTTTTATTCCATCTCAACATAGTTGATGGTAGAACTAATGCAGCAGGCAAGCTCATCTTGCAGCATAAGGGCTTAATTCCCAGTTGGCTAAACAATTTGATGAACATGGAATTGCTTTGTCACTTTAATTAACTATATACAATAGTAAATATTAGTAAAATAAAGGCACCATTTCAATACGATTTGTGAAAGTGTTGTTTACCAGGCTCAGGACGAAAATAGCAGGACAGCAAGAAAATATACAAGTAATTTTGGAACACTAACCATTTCCATAGCATGGTTTATATCCAACTATTTTGGAGATAAACATAAATTACAAGATTGATTCAATACAGACATCTCTCATCACTTTTTCCTCCTCAATGTACTTGAAGACTAACCTTGTTGCATAAGTTAGCAAGAATTGCCGAATTACCAAACACAAATTTCATTAGAGAAAGAGAAGGTCCAACTCTGCATTTTCCGTGCTCCATGGAACATTACAAGTTGAAGGTTGCGCATAAACAGCTATCTTAGCATAGTTTCAACTCTTTCAATGTGATGTATTAAAGCCAGAAAGGTTTAACATCTATTTTGGTTGACTGTAATACTCATTCAAGCATCTAGCTTTCGTTTTTTGGTTGTCATTGAAGGCTCTTTGATAAGCAAGCAGAATAGAGAAACAGAACAATAATATAAAACTGATTGATACCCGACTGTCAAATCGCACATATATTTGGAAAGGTTATGCACTTAATGCATGAATTATTTACCCCAACTTAAAATATAAAAAAAATAAATAAATAAATTATAAAAAAGGAGAAGAAACTAACAGTTACAAACAATATCCAGCACAAACACAAAACAACAATGGTCTTACTAAAAAATTAACATCAACTAGAACTGAACAAACCTGATGCATTTCAAACAGGCTAACAATGTCCCCCTACCCCCCAGAAAAAAGTGCTTTTGTGGACTAATATAATTAATAAGTCTCTGTTAATCCACATTTTTTACAGTTAAAAAAGAAAAGAAAAAGATATGTCCATTAAAACTAAGCCCCGTGCAAACAAATTCAGGTTATCTACGAGAACCCTATTTCCTCGGTGACTTTAGGGTTCAACTATAAGTTGAGAATTATGTATGCAAAAAAATAATCAACCTCCATTACTTGTGCAAAGCATACAAATGCACATGCTTGAACCAACATCAAAAAACCAATGGATAGAAAGCCTAATGGGTTCTTCCTACAATTAATCATTTCATAGACCCTAATTTTTTTCAACCAAAATAAAGTATTAGAAAGCAACTACTCAAAGTGAGAAAAACACTGGACTCACCAAACCATCCCTTTGATTCAGCAACAGTCCAGTAGCTCTGTGCTTCACTCCTAGGCCCCGCATCTTTCCGAGTCTCGCCACCACTGAACAAGAGCAAGGCCTCACTATCTTTGGTGGCAATTTCTACTCCCTCCTGTATGTGTGTCAAAAAAGTTGCTGCCTGGCCTGGATGCTTTTGATAGGACTCCAAAAACCAAGAATCCTCCTTATCAACCTTGTCACAACTACTACTTGTATAAATTGAATGCCCAGCAACCATTACAAGATTCCGAAGCTTCGCAAATGGATACGTATCCGAAACCCTATTAAATTTCCTAGAATAACTCACCCCCTGAAACTGGCTCTCATAATGAGAGAAAATTACGATGACTGTGAGCCCAAATGACAAGAAAATGAAGAAAACCAACATTGGGTGCAACTTGTAGTAGTACTTAAAACGATTTCCAATAGATTTAAGCATTTTGACGGGATGAAATAGTGAATTTTTGGGCTTTCTGGCTCGTTTGATGGTACCGGATTCTAAATCAAAGTCACCACTTGGGTAAGCATGAAAGGCCTTGGGATTTCCAGACCCAAAAGAATAACTTTTCATGATAGAATGAGTCCAGTCAATGGATAGGGAAACGGAGAGTAATCAAACATACCCAGATGGAAATTTACATAGACTAATCAGTGGGATCATGAAATCTGATTCGAACGGTACATTCAGGCACACCCAGTTAGGGAATTCAGATAGAAGAATCAATGGGATCACAAAAATCAGATTCAATTTGAAAAATCAAGCATACCCAGTTGGAAACTAAGAGAAGAGAAACCAATGGGACCTTCAATTACCGATTCAGATGAAAAATCAAACACAACTACAGAGAGAATGAGAGTTATGGGGCCATTCAGTTGTGTTAATCTTTTCAGATTCAATATAGGACAAACCCAATTGACAATTTACATCAGAAATTGAATCAAACCATCACCGTGCACGGAAATCTTATGACACGGAACAAAAAAGGGAGCACATATTTGAAGGTAGAACTCGCAGAAAGGTCACTACTCGTCAGAATTTCAAACATAAACTATAATCGATCGATCATCGATCGATCGAGAGAGAGAGAGAGAGAGAGAGAGAGCTCACCGCATGTTCATGAGTTCCATGAAGGACAAGAAATATGTACAGATTCCTGAAATTTCTTGTTTAGAGAACCATCGGCTCTGAGAGACGCAAGTATTTTTCTCGAGGAGGCGATGGCCAAGACTGAAAGACTCCGGCGGAGTCAGGACTTTAGATTTTTTTTTTTATTATTATTATTTTGTCTTTTTTTTCTTTTTTGTTCATAATATTTTGACAAATTGACATTTTGCTCAAGTTTTTATATATTTTTGATTAAATTAATATATGAAGTCTACTTTGAAGTTGACTTAAATATCATTTTTCTAAATAAAAATATAAAAATTTGGCAATGTTAAGTGACATTACGATACCTATATCTCCATCTGATATTTTTTACTAGTTAATTCTATTTTCATATATTATTTTTTCTTAATTTACATATTTAATAAAACAAATTTAATATAATTTTGTTTTAGAGTAAAAATACTAAAATGTTCTTATCTCTTTCTACTTAAATTCTAATTCTAAAACACCACAATTATTTTCTATTACCATTGTCATCGTTATCACCACCTCTATCGTCCACTATACCCTCTTGTCATCTCTTTTCCCGTCCATTCAACACATTCACAAATGGAGCTGTTAACATATTAGTGTCAGTCTACAAATTTTAACTAGTGAATGATGTTATTTTCAGCTCCAATGGAGTTGTTAAGGAGTTCGCTAAACTCAAAAAATAGTGTTATATATTATTTTGCTTGCCGCAGTTAACAATGGTTCTAGCCATCAACACAGGGAGAGAGAGAGAGAGTGAGAGAATAAAGTAGTGGTGGAACCCACCCATTGTAGTGACTGGACGGATGGTAAGAGAAAGAGAAAAAGGAGATGAGAGAAAAAGTGAGGGAATAAGAAAAAGCTACCAATATTTGTCTTTTTTATTATTATTTTCTTATTTATATATCACTTAACATACTCTTTAACGTATTCATTACATCACCACTTACACTTTAAAATTAGCAAATTCTTAACACACCTTAACACATTTTTAAGTTCCACTTTTATCATTTTTTATCATACACTTTAACAAACAATTTTAATCATTCCATTGTGGATGCTCTTACGACCACCTTCTGCCATAAATCATGCACTCTCACTAGTTTCCTGTCGCAAATCAGTCATTTTTGATGATTAACTTTGGAGGTCTAGGATGGAAGAGAGTTGAGAGTGGCAATGACGGTGGTGATAAATGGCTAAAGGTGACGGCAATGATTGCAAAAGAGAGTGGATAGATGGAAGAAAAATTAGGATTTTGAAATTAAAAATAAAGGTATTATTGGAATCAAAATCTATACTAAGATTTTTTATTTTTTTATGTGTGTAATGAGAATGTGTTCATTAAATGTGTACACTGTAAAGAAATAATGTGTGAAAATAAAATTAGTTCTTTCTACCACCGACAACTACCTTTTTACCAAATTATTTTCTTCTTTCGTTTTTGTTTTAAACCTTTTGGCACGTCAAGTAATTTTTTTATTTTTGTTTCTTGTTATAAAAAATAAAAATAAATAAAAAAGCAAAAACTTGTTTAATACTTTATTTAAAAAACTGACAATGTTACTAAATCTAACTTAAATTAAAGAGATTTATCGGAATATATGGATGAAAAAAAGTGAGATAAAATTATTATTATTATTTTTAATTTCATTAGGCAAAATGCTAACACTAGATGGGGGTGCTCTTATGTACCTCAAACAATAACTAAATTAATTAGATTAAAAATATATATCCATAATTTTAAATTTTAAAATCTTTGTATAGGAAGTTAGAAATAAATTTTAATTATATCTTTTAGCCATATATTATTTTGAAATTTGAAAATATTTAAAAGGAAAGTTATTCAAATAAAATCTTAACCATCTATAATTTGAAAATATTTATTTCAAAGTATTAATAAAAAATTATAATTTTTTGTTTTTAAAGTTTAAAAATACATGTGACAAAAAATACATGTAGGTAAAACTATTGGCATATCTAGTCATATTTGATTTTTAAATTTAAAATTCTATGAATGGAAGTTCAAAAATAAAACGTGGTAATTGGGAGAGGTTTTTTTTGTGAGTCTTAAATATTTTTCTTTATAAAATTACAATTGATTTTTAAGTTCATTAATTTTTTGAGATAGACTCAATGAGTGTGTACAGTAGGAGTGAGCGCGAGTCGGTTGTAATCACGGAACCTTCAATCCGCTATCCGTTCGTCAGATTGGCAGATTGGAGAAAATCAATCTGCATCTGTCCGCCAATCCGGCAAATGTGGATTGAGCGAATTGACGGATGGATGCAAATCGGTTTAACGATTTAAAATTTTATAAATTTTTAATATAATTCAACTTGTACACTTCTTAAAAAAAAAAAAAAGTACTACAGTTAATAACTTAAAAAATTATTACAATCACTACATGCCTCATTCAAAGAAAGAAGGTTTGAAATTTTAGAATATTACAATCGCTGCATACCTCATCCATATATTACAATCACATCATGCCTCATCCACATAAAGTATTACAATCTGTGGTTCTTACAATATAAAAACAATTCAAACCACCAAAACTATGAACAGAGCAATAGTAGAGATTGTATGCCTCTATTGTTAAATTTATATCTGTTTTTAAAAATAAAAACCAACCGGCATATATCATCTTTTTTATTTATTATTTTTAGAGTTAAATTTAAAAAACAAAAAATATAGATAAATAATACATTTATTTTTTTCAATTTAAAAAATATATTCAAGTTGAAAACTCTTTTTCAACAAAATATGTTTAACAGAATATTTAAACTATTTTTTAATTAAAAACACAAACAGAATATCTAAACAAATTGAAAACACAAAGTCTTACAAATTACTAAGGGTGCTCGTGGTTTGAAGGTTCTGTTGTGACCAAAGGAACTTCAAATCCGCCATCCATCCAAAACTAGACAGATTAGAAAAAATCAATCCACAACCGTCCGCTCGTCATTACGCATCCGTCCAAAATGCGGCAAATCAGTTCGGTTCGGTTCGGTTCGATCAGTTGGACGGATCGATATATCCGTTGCTCACTCCTAGTGTACAAAAATAAATAAAAAAATAAAAACTAAAAAGCTTCATGCAAAGAACGTATCAATTTAAGAATTAATTTGTCGAAATTGTTTTTGGTCAAACGATGGGAAATCAATTATTTAGGAAATTTTAACAATAATTCTCTTTCTTCAACATGCACTATTGACGTGTATAAGCCCATAAAGGCCATGAATCACTATGAACAACCCAAGCCCACCACTTGGAGCCCAATACATAACCCAGCTAGTGAGGTCCAGGACAGCTGGAATCCAACATGGCATAAAGAGCCAATGACATTCAGACACATGGCAGGTAAAGGACGAGCCAAATCAACAGACAAAGATCTGCAAAGTTATTGCCACTGCACATCACCATTAATGCAGCCCATCACAGCATTTATTACGACAAAACCTCTCCGTTGGAACAGGACCCCCTTACCCTGAACAAGGTAAGCTACAGCATAGACTTTCGGCGAGGAAGGCAGGTCGGAAGGGACAGCGAAATGATTACCAAAGGATATAAGCAAACGTTGAAGATAAGAAGAAGGTTAAGCTTTTCTATCTCTAATCTCTCCCTCTACACTCTACTTCTCTTCCTAACTTGCTCGTCGGAGGGTTCACTGGGGGACTACCAAGTTTCCCGTTGAACTTGTTTGTAGGTTATCCGGTAGGCTTGATCATTTGGACGTGGGCTTGAGGAGCTTAGACCAGTACGATCCATTCACTGGAACAAACTGTATCATCAGTTGGCGCCGTCTGTGGGAAAGACTTTGCTCCGCGCGCCAGTTGTGCTCATTGTCGCCGGAGACCCTATCCCAACAACCTCTTCCTCCTACCCATCAAAGTGTATGGTCATGACTAGATCCATGGCTTCTCACAATAATGCTGCCGACCATCAGGGCGACCCCCCCAATCCAAACAACCCACCGCAGTATTTATCGAGCTTACCAACAGCATTAACCGCATGGCCGAGCAAAACCAGGCCCTGATAAATGTTTTACTCCAAAGAAACCTTCCGATGCCTCCTCTACCACCTCCAGATATTCCACCCAACCAAGAAAGAGCCCCGAGCCATACTGTTCCGCAACCCTATCCACCCAACTTGAAAGGTTTGCAACCTTCTCCCCCACATATAAATCTACCACCTCTACCCCCACACCCGTCGGTCGTGGCACCAGCCCCTGAAGGGGAAGCCAGTAGCGTCCGGCCCCCATTGACTGACTGTGGTGACAACATTCCCCTCTGGGACGCTGAACTCCGAGCAATGAAGCTCCAACTCCAAGGGGTCATGCAGAACATTCAGCATAAACCCTCTACCACGGCAAACTCACCATTTGTTGCCTCCATCCAGGACAAACCTCTGCCCGCCAAGTTCAAGATGCCCACCATTGACTCTTTTGACGGTACGACGGACCCAGTCAACCATCTGGAGACCTACCGAACCCTCATAATCCTCCATGTCTTCCCTGACGAGATCATGTGTCGGGCTTTCCCCGTGACACTGAAGGGGTCAGCTCGACTATGGTTCAGCCAGTTACTAGCAGACTCTGTCTCCACTTTTCAACACCTCAACGACTCCTTCCTTAGCCATTTCATTAGAGCCCAACGCCAACGCCGCCTGGCAACCCAACTCCTCAACATCCGTCAAACCGAGGGGGAGTCGCTGTGCAATTTTGTTACTCGCTTCAACACCGAAGCCCTGCAAGTAGCAGAAAACGATGACAAGGTCATCCTCACGGCTTTCATGGCCGGGCTACGATCGTCCGATTTCCTCTTCTCCCTCTCCAAAAACCCCCCGATCTCCATGGCAGCCCTACTCTCCAAAGCCCAGAAATACATGAATGCTGAAGATTCACTAGCTGCTCGGCAGGATCCAATAGCTAAAAATCCGACCCCCAGAGAAAAGAGAAAAGACTCAGAACCCAAAAACACCTAGTATAATAGCCAAACACCCCACTATACAGACCGACCTCCCCGTGCTGACCGGTCGGCACCAGCCAGACCGCTCGGTCGGTTCGAGCGGTACACCCTCCTTAATTCTCCTATGGAACAAGTCCTTAACCAGATCCAACGGGACTACCCCCTCAAATGGCCCCTACCTTCACGGACCC